ACGCCTGCGTCCGGCTAGGAGGGGGGGGGGGGGGAAGCGCCTGTTGGGGGACGGGGGGCGGCCCCTGGGGCTTGGCCGTGGCCTCTCTCTGCCCCCTCTCTGACCGCACAGGCTGCCCGGGAGGGAGGGAGGAAGGGAGGGAGGGGCTGGGGATCGGGACTTCCCCCTCTGACGCTGGCTGGCCCTTCTTCTGCCGGGCAGCTCTCGTTCTTCTCCGCGGCCGCAGACGCGCCGGCTGAGGTGGCCAACTCCGCACCCGCGCAAGCACCCGCACGGCCCGGCTTCCTAAGAAGTCCGGCGAAGTAGCCGCCGTCTCACTACTGGGCGATGCCAACCCCGCCGCGCCCAGCTGAGGGCGCGGGGCAGAGAGGGGGCCGCTGGTGGGCATCCTCCATTTGCCTCGCCCGGATTCCCAGCTGAACTCTTCCGCGGGCCTTTTGACATCTTATATTTCCAGATTGTTTAAAACCAAACGAGCCTCAACAGGTGAGCGCGACCGCGAGAGGGAGCGCGCAACAGCCCCCCAGGGCAGGCCCCACTTGCTCGGGAGTCCTCCCGGAGGGGCAGCCGTCGTCGTGTTAGTCTGAAGGAGCAGGAGCCCCCGTCCCGCAGCACCGCGAAGACGGACAACAAGACCCCCTCCCTGTTGCTCCTCTTGGGGTCCCCCGGAGGGAATCCTGTTTTATTTTAATTGGGAAGCGGCCTGAACTCACTGGGGTTTAGTTCCGAGTGAACAGCTGATGTGGATGCTGATTTTGCCCCGTCGCCGTGCCCTCGGCACCTCCTTTCCTCCGTGTCTATTATTGGGCAGATGACCTAAAGCCTTTGAAATCAGAGTCCTAGATGTAATGGGACGGGTGGCTCTCAACCCCGAATCCGGTGGTACCAAAGGGTGGCGAACCGAAATAGAGAGTCCAGCCGGATGGTCCCGAAAAAGTGGGACCACCAGCCTCAGTTAGTGTGAGGTAGCGCACAGGTTTTTAGCCTCCGGCTCACACATTTTTGTCTTAGCTCAGGAAGGAGGGCTCCAGAGCAGTGTTCCCTCTAAGCTGAGTTAGTGTGAGCTAGCTCACAGTTTTTTAGCCTCTGGCTCACACATTTTTGTCTTCGCTCAGGAAGGATGGCTCCAGAGCAAACTGATTTATGCAGTAGCCAAATCGCTTGCTCACAACTTTAATGCCAGTAGCTCACAAAGTAGAATTTTTGCTCACAATACTGCGTGGCTTAGAGGGAACACTGCTCCAGAGCACACTAATTTATGCAGTAGCCAAATCGCTCGCTCACAACTTTAATGTCAGTAGCTCACAGAGTAGAATTTTTTGCTCACAAGATTCCACAACTTAGAGGGAGCATTGGCCAGGACCCTGCGGGTTCTCTCTGGTGATCCGGAGTGTGTGTGTGTGTGTGTAAATCCTTCTCTCTGGAGTTGGGATCTAGTCCCGGTTTACCTCTTTCTTATCAACCGAGAAGGTTTGCGACAATGTTGTTTTGGGAGGGGGCGGCGGCGGAATTAACCATTTGAAAAGGCCGGAACCAGAAGTCGTTGGCATCCAAAGGACACAGGACAACAGATTGTACGCTGGAGCACTCTGCTTTAGCAACACGGAAGGATCTGGTGTGGAAAGTGCTGCTATACAATTGTTTTTACTTTGGTTTAGGGAAAGTGGGAAATTATTATTATTATTATTATTATTATTATTATTATTATTATTATTATTATTATTATTATTATTATTATTATTATTATTATATTATTATTATTATTATTATTATTATTATTATTAGTTCCGATTTGTTTGGTGGTGGTTCCGCTCTTAGCTAGTAAGCAGATAGTGGGTGGCATCAACTTAGCTTTTTAAATGAATGCGAAACTCAGTAAGTGCTACGGACAACACTGGTCATTTCAAGAAGAAGCAAGAGGGTACTTGGATTTTAACTGGTGTTGCCCCTTTGGCTTTACTTGGCTAATTGTCAATAATCATCACGGCCTACACTATTACTATGCGCTGAGTGTTTATTTAATGGCGACTCTTTGACAGGCCGACCCATCCGGAAGCAGCGGGCTCTTGCGCGGCCTGGGTGTCCTCCCGTAGGCCTGGCCTTGGGAAGTCAGTCAGGGCTCGGGAAACCTCCGGAGAAAACTTCTTTTTAAAATACACAGGTGGGGACCGAAAACGAACACCGAGCCTTTTTACACCTACATCCTGTAGAGAAGCTTGTCAAAAGTTCATTTATTTAAAACCTTCCGATGATTGTAGCTTTTCCGGCGCAAACTCAAAAATGGCTAAATCCGGAGTCGTTATGCCATATCCTCTATCCTGTTTGAACCCACGATTTATTTTATAGTTTCTCTTTATGGAAACAGAGAGTGCCAGTCTTATTAGTGATGCCGAACTTAGTGCGGACACCCGATCGGCATAGCCCGATCCCGATTAACGAGCCGGGGAGGACAAACGCCTCCCTCCTAACTGTAATGTGGCTTTTGACTGTTGTCCCAGATAATTTGTTTGTTTTTTAAGGCGGAGGTCTAAGTATACGCCGTGATCAAGTTGCATATTTACCCGGGATTAAGTCTCCCGGAGTTCAATAGAATTTACTCCTAGGCAAATGTGCCCATAATTGCAGATCTGCATAACAGGAGTCCGCATGAGTTGGAATAAATGCTACTGAAACGGATGGAAATCGGTATTTTCTTTCGTCCAAGGAAATAAGTGTGTAACTGAATCCGAGCACTTGACGAGTTTAGGCAGCCAGAGTAGGGGACAAAAAGCGATGCCCCCCCCCCCTTTTCGGTACTTTAATGGGAAGGTGAAACCGAAGCGAGCTCTAAGACTTTAAGCCCCTGAACTTCATTCAGCGGCTGAGTCGACGCTGAAAGACAAAATCGCGGCGTCCTCCCGTTAAAGGCGTTCGAGCTCCGCAGCTGAGTCGGAAGCAGCCGGGAGCTGCTGCGACGCCAACTCTGACCTGGCGGCCCGGGAGGACGACGCCGGCCGGGGACTCCTTCCCCCTGGACCACCACCCCCCGTGCCCCGGTAGGGGCGGGATCAGTGTTCCCTCTAAGCTGAGTTAGTGTGAGCTAGCTCACAGTTTTTTAGCTTCTGGCTCACACACTTTTGTCTTAGCTCAGGAAGGATGGCTCCAGAACACACTAATTTACGCAGCAGCTAAGTCACCTGCTCACAACTTTAATGCCGGTCGCTCATAAAGGAGAATTTTTGCTCTCAGGACCCCACAGCTTAGAGGGCACATTGGAGCTGGTGCGTGAGGCGGTTCCCTCCGGTGGGATCAGCCGCCAAGGCTGCCGGGTCAATGCGGGAGCCGGTTCACCCAGCCTGGGCTGACTCATCCTCCTGGCTCCCAAGGGGGGAAACGGACCTCTCGCCGCTTGGCTTCCCGGAGCCGCGCCTGGCCCTCGCTAGCCGCGCAAGGCGCACCACCTGCTGCTTAGCCAGTCTCGGCCGCAAAAAGAGGCGGCGGCCAAGTGCGACGTGTCCCGCTGGGCGTCAGAGGGACCTCCGGAGGAAAGACGCTTGCTGCCGGCAGGTTCGCACCGAGAATGTTCGGGCCTTTGGGGCTGGTCCCGTTTGCATCCCGGTCCCTTCTTAGCAATAAATTCGTGGCTTGATCTTTTACTAGGTTTGAAAAAAATAAATAAATAAATCAAAAACCAGGGGACGTAAGACAGGGAACACTGGAACCAGCTGGCTTATTGGACTGGATTTTAAATCCTTTCTCTCTTACAAAATCCGGTACTACTATTTTATGTGCACAGACTTTTTTTTGTGGGGGGGGGAATCCATTCAGATTCAAAAAGGAGTTTTGTGGCATAAACTTCCATCGGCTACATAGAGCCTTTTACATCCGATTAAATCCAGTGAGCTTAATTTCCAAGTCAACAGGCACAGAATCGGGTCGCGCAACTTTACCCTCCTCCCAGCCCTCCAAGGACACACAGGAGTGTCGAGGTCACGCTCCTCCCCGATCCAGTTAAACACCTTTTGAAACAATCCGCCGGATTTCTTGCGGGTTTCGGGTTACAGTTAGCAGTCTGGGGTTTGGCGAGTAGGAGGACTTTAATTTGAAGGAACCGGTGCGGTTCTTCCGAAGTAAAGACGCCCCACTTCCTAGAGTAAAAACAGGAACCAGCGCAGGCGAGGAGGGACCGGAGCCGGCTAACCTCAACAGAAGACAGCTCCGGTGGCTGGCCCTGCCCAAGGTCGTTGCGACGAGACCACCGCCTAACTTTTCTGCAACGCAGAAGGACCGTGAAGAACGCACCCGCAATCACCACAAATCAAACCACGCAGTAGCTCCGTGGTCCCGAGCTGAGTCCCCCCCCCAGGTGAAGGCTGGGGGTTTGTGGGGGGGGGGGGGGAGGTGTTTTGCTTTGAAACGGACGCCTGCTGGACTTCTTGGCCTCCCTAAACTGCCAGGAAAGCGGGCTTTGTTCCCTCGGCGCGCCAAATCGCGCCACTTTATTCCGAGTTTAATCTGTAGTGCCAGAGACTGCATTTCTCTGGAGACTAGTGGCAAAGTAAAGTGGAGCACAGGGGAGGAGGAGGGGGATGTGCGCCTCTTTGAGTCTCCAGCGGGGAGAAAAGCGGGGGTGTAAATAAACAACCCCCTAAAGGGGATGAGACCCGCTAGCCTCCAGGATGAAGGGATTCCGCCGGATTTGCTGCAGGACAGTTCGGACTCGCTGCATTTAATCCAGTGTTTGTCCCCTCCCCGATCCTATAGGTTCGGTTACTTGG